TATAACTTTTCACTTTTTTTATGGTTTCTGATAGCATCCTTACACAATCTGATATATTTATAGTAACAGATTGCAAAAGCTTCGAAACTGAATTAATTTCAAACAAAATATCATGCCAAAGAATTACTCCACATTTAAACTTGTAATTTTTAATATTTTTTGCTAACCCTCTCGCTTTAACTTTAGTTTCTGCATTTCTATTGACGTCTTCTATTATCAGAATCAATGCATCATAGATTTCGCAAAGTTGAAATCGTAAAGGTTTTAAAGCATCTGTTCTGCTTGCCCACCTAGTAGCACTTAATGGTTTCAGAGTTAATTGAGAAACATATTTTTTTAGCACTTCCCAACGCTTTGTAGAACCAGAAAAAAAAGTGTAAAGTTCTTGTACAATAGAAAAAAAAATGTTGTTTCTGTAGTAGAAGACGCTGCATCATTCACAACAAGGTTTAAAGAATGGCATGCGCAGGGCACATAAAAAGCCCTTGGATATTTTTCAAGTACTCTACTTTAAACACCCTTTCTTACTCCTTTCATATTGGCTCCGTTGTCATAGCCTTGTCCCCTAAGCCACTTTAACTCAAAACCTAATTTTTCCAAATGTGTCAGAATAAGTTTTGTCAAACCTTCTCCGGTTGAATCACTAGCTTCAAAAAAACCAATAAAGAATTCTGCAATTTCATATTTATTTTGAGTTTCATATTTATTTTTAGTTAAAAGTAACAACTCTTATTGTTAAGGAGAGCTGTTCATAATGACTGACGTCGGGGGTACAATCAGCGATTATAGAAAAATATTTAGCGATTTTTGTTATTTCGACAACTTTTCTTAAAATTGAATTTCCCATTAAATTTATCAATTCATCTTGTATATTATTGCTTAGATAAGTCACTGACCATTTATCAGACTCTCGTTGAACTTTCCTGATATGTTCTTCCATAACTGGATCAAACTCAGAAAGTAATTCTACCAACTTTAGGAAGTTCCCGTTATTAGGTTGAAACAAATGTTCAGTTGATCCACGAAAAACTAAACATTGTGAGGCCAATAGTTTAATTATTGACATAATTCTTTTTATAACTCCTCTCCAATGCTGAAGTTCCATATCCATAATTCGTTGATATTCAGCGTCAATAGTTTTTTTCTGCTTCAATCGAATGTCCAATTCTTTCCATGCTCTAAAAGCATTTCTGTGATTTACAGACTTTTCGTGCATTGTGAGGGCTCTTATAAGATTTTTCCAGTCAGAATAGCCTTTTTTGGGCCAGTCACTAATATCAGACGAATTATCAAATAATATACAACAACTCAACACTTTCGAATAATACGAGGGCAAAAATCTACGCTTTCCTTTATTAATAGGAAACTCGAATTCTTTAATTTGATGGGGACCCCTCTCAATCAGTAGTTGACGAGTTTGAGATGACATGCAGAAAGTAAGCCATAATGCAGGATCTGAAGGAATTTCTTTTAATACCTGCTGACTGCCACTGCTAATGCGGCCCGGTTCTTGATGAACTTCTGATGATGTTATTTTTTGGATCTCTTCAACAATTTTTTCTGGAATTGATTGGGGCGGCACTGTGTTTTTATTTGCCAAATCCAAGGCAGTCGCAGTTGACGTGGATGTGCTGCCCGGCTGTTCATAAAGATCTGATGGTGTTAGTATTTGGCTCTCTTCAACAACTTCTTCTGGAAGTGATTGGGGCGGCACTGTGTTGTTATTTCCCAAATCAGTTGCTGCTGATGTGGATGGCTCATCTAAACCGCACTTTTGTACTAAGAATTTCTTCATAACATTGCTGAGCTTTCTTTCTTGTTCCTCATTCTTTAAGCGTTTCTTTTTGTATTGACTTCCAGATAATTTTTTTCTTTTTTGTTCCATGCTGACGATTGCTGTCACTGCTGTAATAAATTTTTGTAAAAATTTTGTAAAATCTTTGTAATGTCATCATGTTTTTAACAGTTAAAAACATGATGATATTACAAGTTTAAAATTTAACTTGCGAAGACAGGCAAACACAAACGTTTAAAAACGTTTGAAAACAGTATTTTGAAACATAATAAGAAAATAGTCCACGCTAATATGCGTTTCAAAACGTTTTTATTCATATTGAAAGGAATAGCAAAAGCGAATGCTAAATGAGGGAGAAATTTTTTTTTATTTTTATAGAAAAATGTGGACAATGAAAAAACTTTTAAAGTGATAAAAACATTCACGAGTTTGGTAGTAATTAAAATTTAAATGAGTCCAGTTTATGATTTAGTACCTAATTATTATTGCAACCCTGAAATTACATTTTGATTTCGCTACTTTGCCGCCGCTTAATGGTGCCGCCTGAGGCGGCCGCCTCTTTGTATCATAGCACCGCACGGCCCTGGTTTGTTTCACTTTTTTTACTTACTCGTGTAAGTAAAAAAAAAGTAAAAGAGTCATTCCTACTGACTACAACTCTTATGAAAAGTGTAAACCAATGTCTTCTTTTTCCAATTTGAATTATCTAAGAAAAAGTAAATATTTTATTGGGCTTAAACCAATCTCCGTGGTGAAAACATTGTCGTTTAAGCTCATATGAGTAAGTTTTAAATGCGTAGTTTGTAATAGAAGTATGTGAGTCTTAAATGCATAGAATTTGTTTACAACATGAATAATCTTACTTTAAAGATTATAAAGTTTTAATATTTCTCAGTTTGACAACAATTTAAACAAAGTTTTAAAATTTTTAGTAACCTAGGAGGCTCAACTGATTTTACTAAATTTTATGTAAAATGGCAAGTGATTGCGGTAAATAGGGCAATATTATTCAATAATCTCTCAGCTAAGCGCAAAATAGAATTATTAAATTGTTTATTTTTGATTGTCAAATCGAAAATTTTTTTGATTGTATTGTTAAACCGTGTTATATTTGAGACACCTAACTATATTTGTTTGTTTACTTAGACGGTTTTTTTTTTTTTTTTAATTGGTATATTATTATTGTATTGTTAAATGGTTCTTGGTGTCAGAATATAACGATTCTCTTTGAGTTTTAGTATTCTTATATATTATGTACAATAGCATTTTACCAAAAAATATAATTATACGTTAATAAAATTTTGTTAAAGTTATTTGAAGATAAAGAACGTTAAGTACAGATAAATTTTTGCGAGTGAATGAAAATGTTCGATATTTGGAATTTTTACTTTCATGTGAATTTTCATAAAAATTTATAAAAAGTAGGCCTACAGAAAGCGAGAGGCCAACGGCACTTCCTATTCAGGGGCCGTAAAGGTTTTAAGACGAATTTTATTTTTAAGAATATAAGAACAAACGTAGTTATTTTATAAATATGTTGTTCTTTTATAAATATTCTTTCAATATTTTTGAAATAACTAGATCAAGATCTGATTCAAGACGAAAATCTCTGAAAACCTTTTCAGAGAGTTAACAAATTTGTTAACTCTCTGAAGACCTTTTCAGAGAGTTAACAAATTTGTCAACTCTCTGAAAACCTTTTCAGAGAGTTAACAAATTTTAATGAGAGTTGTAAAAGATAACGATTATCTTTTACAACTTCGTAAGTGCCAATTCCAATATTTGCGTTAATTTTATCGTATCCAGTTGCTTTATTTTGTTTAAATGATATAAAAGCAAATTTGAATTTATCAAAAGTCAAGTCAATGAAATTTTGAATAGAGTTTCTTGGCGTTTCGAATTTTTTAATAGATTTATCTTTAATTTATGAAAATATCTTGCATAACTTTATTCCGATAGTTGACTTGTTTAATCTAAATGCAGCATCATTTAAATTGCTTATCAGTTTGTTATTAATTTTCATCATATCTGGTAGTGAACTTATATTTGTTTTACATTTACAAGTCTTTTATGACTTACCAGACGTGTTTTGTATTATGTTTTTTTTTTTAAGCCAGCTTGAGGAATAATTTTTCATTTGGTATTTTGCGAAGATTTCTTTGTGTTTTCTGATTTTAATGTTTAATTAAAAAATATTAAGAAACGATTGCAAAAATTGTTTTTTGTTATTCCCTTATTTTGGCGGACGTGATTTTAGTTCTTACCTTCCATACCTTATGTCTCCCTAAAACCATACCCTTACTATGTCTTTACCTTATATGTCTTACTATGTTCTATACCTTATGTCTCCCTAAAACCATACCCTGACCCTAACCCTTAGAGTATAGTTTTTAATAAAATAACGTTAATAACTTAATGGGTAGTGTTGAATATCACTGACTGAATGACTGAAAACCTTGACCTAAAACTGGTTTTTTATAGACTTAGTAAAAGAAGGGTACTTGAAATACACGTCTACCTATTTTTTTGGGGAATTATTTAAAAAGTCAGTTGTGCAAAAAAGTTTGCAACAAAAAGTTTGAAACAAAAAAAGAAAATATTCATAAAAAGCTAAAAATATAAAGAACCTAATGAAAAGCGTTCCTTATATGAACCAGTACTTTTTAAAAGGGCGGATTTGTACAAAACTTTTGAAGCAAATCCGCCCTTTTAAAATATACTGATTTATACACGTTTTTTTTTAAAGCGGGGAATTTTAAAAAGAACGTTTAAAGGGAACGTTTTTTATTAGGAAACCTAATGAAATTGTTAATGAAACTTAAAATTAATTAAAAAAACATAAGGCAACAAAACAAAATTAAAAACATTGTATATTTAATAAAATCCCGTAACAAATACAAGATCGTTAAAACGTGATGCGTTCATAATTGATGTAATTTTTAGAAACTAAAATTAAAAAATTTAGAAATTAAGCCATTTAAAAAATAAAAAAGATTTAAGCTGTTCACATAAAATATTTATAAATATTTTATATATTTTAATAAAAATTACTCATTTTTAAAAATATGAAATATAATATTTATATCACATATAGAAGTTCAATTAAATTATTTTAAATAAATTATTTAAGGTCATCTAAAATAATCAAAAATATTTTTTGCCATTTTCATTAAAATATCAAAATAGTTGAAAATAATTAACTATTTAAAAAATCATTTTTTATTTGTGAAAAATAAATAAATAAATATACCATAAATATTAAAATCATAAACAAATAGTCCACGATTATGAATTCTAAATTTTGTTTCTACGCTAAAATAACCTCTTTAGCTTTTTCTGGTATAGCGTTTTTCTTTTGTTTAATTCTGTGAGCCGCATAAATTTGCAAAAAAAGTGCAAGAAAAACAAAAATAACTCCAACAACTGCCTGAGTTGTCAATTGGTGACCGTAGAGAAAACAAGAAAGCAAAATACTAAACATTTGTCGCGTCACCATGATAATGGTAAATACAACTGGTCCGAATTCGGCAATGGTATAAAATAAAAAAAGCTGACCAACAGCTGAAGAAAGTGATATAATTAGTACGTGGATACCAAACGATGAATACTGACTAATAAAAGAAATTGAATACGCCATGCCACCACTTATCAATAAAGGCACAGCGCTAAGAATAGCAGAGAAAACATTGAGATTAAACATCATTTGCATAGATGACACACCATACTCAATAAATAATTGAGACTGCCAGTTTGAAGTAAAGCTATCAAAAACTATATACCCTGTAATAATTATCAAACCAGATATTGTTGTTTCAGCTGAGTAGTGTTTGTCAGTGGCAGCTGAAAGCAAAAACAAAGTCATACCAATAGAAATCATGGCCGCTACCACGTATTCATAATAATGATAAGTTTTCTTGAGAATAAATTTACCCATTATCATTACAGGTATCAATTTACAGGTCTTCCCTAGAACCTGGGTAGGAAAGCTAACAAATTTTAATGCTTCGTATTGGCACCAAGAGCTGCATATATTTGACAAAGAACTGTACAAAAACTTGTAGAAAGGAGCCTTCCAGTTTGGACCTGTCACAAAGATATAAACTGCAGATATTACCAATGCCAAAACTCGATTCATAAACACGAGAAATTCTGAATTTTGAAAACGTACATCATTGGGTGGTTCACCATATTTCTGAGTCATAACTTCTTCTTGAAGTACCCCCCATGTCAAATAAGAACCTTGCAAACCTATTAAGATTTTTTTAATCTTTTTTATCTAACTCAATAAAATAACATTATAATAAATTAAATTAAATAAATTATATAAAATAAATAATAAATTATATAATTCAATAAAATAACATTAATAACACAAGATTAACAAATTAAAAATAAGAAAAAAATAATAACTAAAATACCTAACACACAAATAAGGAGCTTTAATGTTGGATTATCTCCAAAACATTTAACATGCAATGTTTTTCTATGCATATCGTCTCCATTGAAACCAAAAACAAAGCACTTTATCATACCATAGATAAATCCTTCACCTGAAATGGTTTTTAATAAATTTAAAAACTAATAATTTAAAGAATTGATTAGTAAAAGATAAAACAAATAAAAAAATACCATCACGTTCATAAAAATTTGAAGATTGAACCATTTTTATAAAAAAAATACAAGGTATAATAATCAGAGCATAACCCAATAGATTCCATCCAAAACTCTGGAACCAAACTTCCTGTTGTACAACGTGAACCCTGTGTGGAAGGTGATGTTTGTAACCATCCTAACAAAATTATTTGCTATTAATAAACCAAAGAAATGCAAACAAAAAATACTTGTTTTCCTCTATAAAAATAAACATAATCCACTGATAGCGCAAAAATCATTTTATCAACTTATTTTTCCGCACAGCAGCCTTGTTCGTCAAGGTTCGTGTTTCGAAGTTATAGAGTTGAGAGATGGTTATAACCACAAGTAGTCTCCTCATCTGTAGTGGCTTTCTCGGCCTTGGGGAGGTGAATTACAATATATATATACCGTAGCGTGGGGTAATTGAGCACCATTTTTGAAGCTTTTATTTAAATAAAATAAAAACTTGTAGAAAATTTTAAAAAGTGAGATATGTTATTTTAGTACTATATTAGGTCTATCATTTAGGAAGGTTGAATTAAAAAAAAAATTCCAGCAAAGAGTTAATGACACAAAATATGCGGGTGCGCATTTACCCCACAATTTGGGGTAAATGAGCACCTTAATATCTTTTTCATAAACATATATATGTATATATATATATATATATATATATATAAATATATATATATATATATAAATATATATATATATATATGTATATATATATATATACATATATATATATATATATATATATATATATATATATATATATATATATATATATATATATATATATATATATATATATATATATATATATATATATATATATATACATATATACAAATTTGGGAAAGTCTTACGCGGATATAGCTTTTTAACGCGGAGATAGATGCAATAATAAATCTATATTTTATATTGAATATTGATTTAATTTCATATTATAAAAATTATTGACAGTATTTTATCAAAAGCATCATACTTTGTATGTGTGTGTGCGCGCAAAAGATCCTTATCTGACACTCAGTCCCATTTTTGGGTAATCCTGGCCCCCTGCAAAAAATTAAATCCAAAGACAAACAATGCAGCAGACGATTTTTCTTTATGTAATCTAATATTCTTTACCTAGCATTCAAATAAACTTAGATATGTTTTATTTGTATGTTGAACATAATCAAATGGAACAATTTTTTTTTATTTCAATTTTCATAATTTATTAAAAAAAAAGGTTTCTTGTGTATTAAAAAAATAAATAATCCAGACAAACTAACCAGACTTCCTATCACCCTGACTCATATTATATACATGGGTGATAGATGTGAACACTAGTATAAACTTACATAAGTTGAAAGTTGGTTTAAGTCAACTTTCTCAAACATAAAATGAAAAAATAGTTTCTCAAACATAAAATGAAAAAAAAACAAATGAAAAAATAGTCCAATATAATTTGTTCAAACTTTATAACAAAATAAAACAAAAAAATATAAATATATGATACAGATATATCAACGCATATATAAGTCACCAATGATTTCTTTTAAAAAAGATATGTTGTTTTTTTCATATTGGGGACAAGGAAGCTGTTTAACAATAGATTTGCTTTCTGTTAATAAGTAATCAGGAACTTGCGGTTCTTTGAAGGATATGATTCTTGGGTTTGAAGCATCAAAATCTCGTCTAAAGTATTTAATGTTCCAATTATTATCTTCCTCTGAATTTACAACTTGACCTACAAAATGATATGGTACCTTTTTTCCTTCAAACCTTACAATAATATAAGAACCCTCTACTAATGGATATTTAGAGGTTACAACCATACCAGAATCTTCTTTATTAGAATTAGGATCTGATTCAAAGCTCTTTTTTAAGCAGTCTTCATTTAAGCAGTTTCAAGCTTTTTTTGGATATGTGTTTGCTTTTGATGGAAAATGGAACCATAAAGGCCAGAAACACCATTATATAAATTACTTTTTTTAGCAAATAAATCTTTTTTTTTTAACGTTTTACTTTTGACTTTCTGCTGACCCTCAGATTTTTTTGCAGAATCTTCTTGTAGCTCTATATACATCTTGGAGCTGGAAGGCATATCATAATCGATAATATCTTTAAAACTATCCAAATCTACTGAAGAAGTTATTTTATCTAAGGAGTCATTCAAAAGGATATTTTTTATTTTGATTAGCTTGCGTTTTGATTGGGATTTTAAAACAGAAGAAACTGCAACATCATCAAGTGAAACACTTTTTCCCGGTGAAACCTTGACTTTTTTCCCACGCAACACTGCCCCAGGCTATTTAGCAGATGCTTCTCTAAGTTCTTAAAGACGTTCAAGAACTAACGGGGATACTAAGTTTTGAGAGGATGTAGAAATGTCTGCTCTTAAAATCTTATCAATAATTTTTTTTCTGTTTAGCGGGTAGATACCAGATGTTTTAAACCCATTTACAGCAAACTCTTGTATGTGGTCCATATTAGATATTAGATTAAGGAGCAATCTCAGGAAAACATTTTTTGGTAGGGATGTATAAAACCTCCTTTCCCCAATTTTCCATGCAGTAAGCACTTTTCTCCATGTTGATTTCATGGGTCCATAAACTGCAAGATCTAGAGGTTGTAGCAAATGTGTACTGTTTGGAGGTAAAAAGACCATCATAATATTATTAGCCTCGCAAATTTCTATAACCTCAATAGACAAATGGCATGCTAAATTATCACCAATGAGAATTTTTGGTGCGTCATTGTCAACATGTCTGAAGTAAGGTATTACTAATGTTTGCATCCAATCTATAAACAGTGACTATCAAACCAACCAGACTTTGTTCGGTTATATCGTGCACCCATTGGACCTCTAAGTATCCATGTGTCCAGTAGACGCTCAGCTTTATACACTGAATATGGAGGAAGAAATACACCATCAGCAGAACATGCAAATATAATAGACACTGATGACTTTGATGTATTTATAACTCGTTCAGCATGTTTAGTACCCTTTCGGAATATCATTTGTTTTGATTTTGGGTCATCAGAAAGATTTGTTTCATCATAGTTTATTATATTTTGAGGTAAAATATTTTTTATAGTTTCTTCTAAATTACTAAAAAATCTATTTACAGAATCACATGAAACTGCAGCACATTTTCTACAAATATTTTGACATGCTCGATAAGATAGCAATTTTTTATGTCGTTTTAAAAATGATCTCACCCAATCATTACCAGGCAAATTTTCTTTAAAATATGGGCAATCCCTATCAGATTTTTGAAGAAAACTTTGTATAAACAGCTTTAGGTCTACTATTTCGAATGCATAGCCAAAATCATTAAAAGTTGCAATGTATTGAGCAATTGTTACTTCCTCTTCTGGTAACAATGCACTCCTTCGACCAACCACACCAGTTTTTCTTAAACCACTAACATGACATCTTAGAGTTCTGTGTGATATGTTCAATAGCCTTGCCACACGTTTACAAGTTTCTCCATCATTAACAAGTTCTACTGCTTTTTTAAGTTCATAATCTGTGTAGGTTTTGAAAAGTTTTTGTTTTGATTTTACGTAGTTTCTCACCATTTTATCAGATATCTAATATGTAAAAAGGAAAACATATTAGCTAAAAATTTAAATAATTTGCACCTTTAGATATTTATTTCATTAACAATAGTATTTAAAGGGTAAAAAACAGCTACTTGAAAAGGTGCTCATTTACCCCAAATAAAAGTGCTCAATTAGCCCTCATTACTTTAAACAACAATATTTTATTAATAATTCATTAATGAGACTTTAAAATTCATACGAATTTACCTCAACATATGTGTAGTATACTACAAAAAACTCAAAACTCTAAGAAGGTTTTAACTATAACTGCTTACCCTTAGTATTTCCAGTTATTAATTTTTACGGAATTTTATGATTCTGCATCGTGATGTATTTAAAATGTTATCAGCTATTTATTTTTGACCAAAACAGTTGTAATTAGCAACATACAATTTTAAAAAGTTAATTTAAATATTTATATCTTGAAACTAATCTAAGCATTGATATTATCTATTTTATATGACTTTTAAAATTAAAATGTTTACGGGTGCTCAATTACCCCAGAAAGTGCTCAATTACCCCACGCTACGGTACTATAATGCAGGCCTTGTGATGAATAAAAACTGCACGACGCATAAGTACGGCGTGATTTTTGACGTCATTAAATTCTTTTTATTTGCTTTTCATATTTATCCACATTAACTGCACCAATTTACTTAATTACGGCATAACTAATTTAAATCATTAATGTAGAAATGTTATTATTTTAAAATGTTTTGGAATGTTTCGTTTTTTAAAATGTAAAAACATTTGTTTATGTTCTCGACGTTTGACACTTTTTGTCTATACTAAACGAATAAAAACATTATAACTAAACATTTAAAAAAGATTATAAAATATGCTAGTTTATTAGTCAGCGAGTAATAAACTGGAAATTTTAATTTTGTACGATTAAAAACTGTGCAATAGTTAATATTTTTACTAGCGATTTTATATAATATTTTTTTATTTATTTATTTTTATTTTCATAAAGCTGTTGATAAGCACAATCACTTGTATTACTAAAAAACTTTAACGAACGTTTGAATAGATTTTGAATGTTTACAAGGAATTTTATTTTTGGTAAAATAAAATAAAATAAAATGTTAGAATAAAAATCTTATAGGTATAAAAGACATATTTCAACGAAAAAATTATTCTTAAAAATTATTCTTAAAAATTATTCGAAAAACTGTTGACGTTCTATTTTTCAGCAGCTGTTCGTGAGCGTGCTTCGTTGAGTTTCGGTATTTTTTAACAAAAAAGCGATTGTTATTATTTAAGTAATTTTTTTCGAGTTACTTTTAAAAAAAATTTTAATAGCTGTACTTTTTTATTGAATCGAGTAGAATCAGTTTTAATATTAATCCTTTTATTTTTTTTTTTATTTACTCGAAATTACTCTTAAATACTTTAAATACGTCTAACATTTAATAAATATTTTTAAATCTATGGAATAATTTTAAAACCTAACAAACCCCCGTAAAATAATTATTTAAGTTAAAAATCTAAAACTAAAAGAAAGTATTTTTGTTCAATTTTATCGACAACTTTGCTATTGCTGAATAATTTTATTAAAATATTAGCTTAAAAAGATTTAAACTTTTTTTTTAATCTGAATTTTTTCTACTTGTATATAATGAGCATTTTTAATTTTTTTGTAATTCAAAATTACTTCATTAAAATTCCGCTCAAAAATATCTTTAAAAATACTCAAACAAAAAATTCTTTGCTCGACGCAAATAGCCCTAGCTACACCCAAAATCGCTCTTGGACGACATAAAATTCATATCGCCCGACGCTTTATCGCAAGGCCTGATAATGTATATAAATTATTATTAGTTTCTTTTATATTTAAAGCATACAGAATTATAAGAAAAAGAAGAAAACAAAGAGTAATGAAAAAAAAGATTGCTGCCACATGCTTAACTCTCAGTCGATGTGACAGTATTCTCTTACATTGTATGTACTGAAGCCCCCGGCAAGAGGCTATATCAGTGCGACATTAGAGATGTTATTTAAACACATTCATAGAACCCTGCATAAGTCAGACACATTTTCAATTCCCCTTGAACTTTCTCTACCGACTAACTATAAAATCATTTGCTTAAGTCATACTTAAGTCATACCCTGGTTAAGTCTGACTATTGGCTAACTTATATTTTTATATTATAGTTTTTTGGGGTCTCTTTGGCAAAAAACCTTCACTTATTTAGGACGTTTATTTTGAATTGTATATAAGAGCATAAAATAACTAAACTTCCAATACTTCAATAAAAATTCTTTTGAATGCTGAAAAATAAAATACCTTTGCATCTATAATAAATAAAATACCTTCAATTCGGTTAGGTTTTGATTGAATTCTATTAATTATTGATTATTGATTTACTTAAAAATTCAAAAAAATCAATCAAAATTTAAAACTTAAAATGTTTGAAAATTAAATACCTTTTTTTCAAACTTAATTTAACTAACTAAACATTTTCACTGTTATCTTCAGATTCAGTTAATCTTCAATTAAATTTTATTTATTAAAAATATCAAAGGTTGCTAAAAGAAAGCTAACAAAGTAGAAATATAACAATATGTTGCAAGTCACTGAAACAAACATCAACTTCAAACATTCATAGTATATTTATTTATAGTATATATTATATATATTAAAATATATATTTAATAAAAGATTTTATAACACTTTATATATGTAAATAATATTTATACATTTTTATTCAGTAGAATACTCAATACTCAACTCAACATACAAATTATTTTTGATTATTTTGTGTAAAAATACGCAATTTTTTTCGAGTGTAAAATAGAATTTTGCCTTTAAAGTAATTTATTTTATCATTTTATTGAATTTTAAACAGAAATATTATTCTCTAGTAAATGTAATAATCTCTAATAAATGCAATTTATTAGAGATTTTCAGAGAATATTAAAAAAAATAGTGTAAGCATTGAAATAAAAAACAAAAGGCAATATTTCAAAAGCATATTTACTACAAACAAATAAATTTTATAAGTATTACAGTGCTCTAATAAATGCCTTGAGTGTCAATTTCATAAAATCAAGAGCAATCCTTGTACAGCAAAAGCTTAATCATTCATCAACAAATTTAAGTTTTAAAGCTCAAGAAATTGATGAAATTCAACACAACTTAAAAAGCAACAAGTTTCTGCGTAAAATTTTCAAATTTGGTGAAAGTGAAAAAACTTACAGTTCAGTTTTGAACTTTTTACATTGCCAAACAGAAATCAATTTTAATCCTGGAAAGAAAAAAAAACTACAGTTTACCTGCATTTATTGCTATAAAGTATTACATGAGCCACTTGGTAAAACTGTTAATTTTTTAAGCATTTTAATTCAACGCAATGTAATGGCAAAGAAGATTTTATAACTCAGAAAAAGGCGTAACAAAAATTAGAAATTAAATAATATAAGTCTTGATAACGAAGATGATTTGTGCTCAAAAGACAAAATCATGGATCCAACTTATGTAATATCATCCAATATGGCAAACCAAGAGCTGGGTAACTTGCATCTAAAAAGACTTTTAGAGCATCATAAAATTAATTTCCCATATTAGAAATCTTTTGTCTATAATATTATTTCTAAGGTAGTTGAAAAGATAAAAAAATTAATTACAAACCACCTTAGAAAAGCCAAAACTGTTACATTAATAGCTGACATCTGGGATAGCCATCAAATGACTGATTTTTTTGATTATGTTGTCAGGTTACTTTTGCGGATTTCAGTAAAAAACTAATAGTTCTTGGTCTTCAACAAATGAATGGCCCACATAATGCTGAGAATATTATACTATTTTCGAACAAATATTAAATCAATTTGATTTCAATAAATCTAAAGTTGATGGTTATGTGAGCGATGGTGGTAAAATTTCAGACTTAAAAATTGGTAATTGGATTGAAGATTTTTGGAAGACTTGTTTGAAAAATGACAATAGCGATAAGAATGACCAGGAGCTGAAAGATTCACCTGAAAATAAAATTGATCCTGAAATAAAAGAATTGCTTACTGAAGAAATTAATCCAATTCAAAATTATTCTTTATTTAAGCAAGCTATCTAAAGAGATTGACGCTTGAAGTTCAATAATACTCCCAGCATATAGATTCAGGCTTTAGCAGGAATGGTGGGCTGGCACACGCTTCCACACTTGTGCAAATCAGTTTTACGGGCAAAAAAAAACCCGTGCAAAATATAAATATTTGGTAAAAATAAAATTAAATATATTTACGTTATTATTTAGTTATTCTTTAAAAACTTCTCAAATGATGTAATTCTGTAAAACTGTTTGTTTTACTAGTTAAAAAACAAAACTATTTCATTCAGGATATGGTAAAAAAATTATGAAAAATTTTTTTTTTGAATATTCTGATGTAAAAATAAAAAATAAAAATTGAACAAGTCATTTCAAACAGCTATAACTGTTCTGTATTATTCTGTGTTATGTTAAAAGATAAATAATTAGTATGTTAAAAAGCAAGCAAAATATCCATGTGTTGCAAAAACATTTAACATAATAGTCTGAGTTTTCAGTATTTTTCGGAAATTTATAAACATATACAATAGGAACTGTTAGATAATAAAGAGAATTTCTTTTTTGTATAATCACATACTTTGTTTAATCGATTGATAAACTAGTTTGTTATATTTTAAAGTTGTTTAAAGTAGTGCATATTTCCCTAATTCAACATGCTACAGTACATAATAATTTTAATTTTTCAAAAAAGCTAGTGCTAAACTATCTTGGCGGGCAGCCTGATGATCTGACTGCAAATGCTAAAAATAGTTTCACTCAAAAAAGTGCGCTTGGTGATGAAGACTTTGATCAGTTTTATTAAAGCATAAAATTGGATCAGGTAGAATACAAAAAAACAGAACTCAGCATTGAGCACTTAGCTGACAAAGAAAGAGATAACTTTATAAATATTTTTAAAAGCCATACTTTCACCAACAAAACTCAGTATGCATGTAAGTTATGCATTGTAGTTTAATAAAAGAAAAGAATTGCTGCATGTTTATAATTTTTGTCTTATCTTTTACAACATACTGACATCCTCTGCATATGTTGAATGCTTTTTTAACATATGCAGTGTAGTTAATAAAAAAAAGAGCTGGCAACATGACAGATGAAATATTAATAAATCATGCTTTTTTAAAAAGTAACTTAGCTATACTCAACTGCCTGAATAAAAATATTTTCTTTATTTGTTTTTAAATAATTTCCTTGATATTTTGTTTTTGAGTTGCAATTACATTTTTGAAAACTATAATCAGTTTTTTTTTTCTTCTTTTTATTTTTCTGTTTAAAACTCAATGAACAAAAAAATAAATTACTTTAAAGACCAAATTCTATTTTACACTAAAAAATATTGCATATTTTAACTCAAATTACTTATAAGTAATACATATGAGTTGAATATTAAGTATTCTACAAAAATGGGTATGATAAGTTGCATAATGAGTATTATACTAAAAAAAAATGCATGAGTTCAGTTGCGTATTGAGTTTGATGTGAGTATTATACTCAATACGCAAAAAAAAGTGCGTTTTGATGTATATGTATTGTTACTCTTTATTAATCCTAAACCTTGCAACAGGAACATAGTTAAACAAAGCTGCTGCCAGGGTTGGATCAAATAAGTATTTTTA